TGTTTTTTTCCCTTTTATGGCAAAATGGGCACTAAGAATTCCCTATATTTATAGTTTTAGAAGAAAGTGAACTAATCTCTGTGCAGCCTATTTGTTTTAGATTAGATTACATTTCAATGCAAAAGTGATATTGAGAAACGTACACATATTTTTCATAATAGTTCCTGCTACTGTACGTACCTTTCTGAATATGCTTTTTACTTCCAACAACATGAATGGTTTAAACATGAGAGCTTTTTTTTAATGTTTTATGAGTCAAAATAACAGATTCATGACAGGAAGCTGAAGTTGGCTGTTACTGTGACACAAATGCATTAAACACTAAAAGACAAAGATATACAATAAAGAAGCAAGCTGTTAGTTTTTGGTTATGGGTCTTTATTGGCCTCCATGAACCATGTTTAAACAATGACAATAGCAAAAAGAAAAAAACAAATAAAACTAAAAACCTTTTTTTCCCCAGCACCTCTTCTACCTGTAGCACATTCAACTGCTGCTCATGTGCACCTCCTTCTGTCACAACAACAACAACAACAACAACAACTGAACTCAGCTCTACTGCTTATGAGAATATGTATTTGTTTTTTAGCATTCTTTTTTTTTTTTTTAGATGTAGCAACTGTAGAGGTCCCATATTTTACTGCTTACTTTCTGGCTGAACTACTGCTGTGAATTGGCTTAATCCGAGAAGATTAAGAAATGTGTTCTTTATTTCCACAATTAGAAGTTACTTGCATTAGTCTGAAAACAAATTGGATTAGAGATGCATGTTACTGTACGCAGAATTAACGTGGTTCTAGGGTAGTATATTCACTTCACTCAAGTGTTATTGCAAGACAGGGTGTGACAGGGGACGTCTACAGTGGCTAATAATGTAAAACCATCCACTGAAAACAAGGCATCCTTGTTTTCTCTAAGGCAGCACAACATGAACAGTTCCTCTGTCGACACAAAGCCAAAGTATGTATAACAAGGCTTAGTGACAACAACAACATTCTCGTCAGACTTATGTTCATATGAAACTGATTGCATTAGTAACATGACTTTCGGATCAAATGCAATGTCCTGTGCAGCATTATGTTTAATATTGAAAAATTCAACATTGTTAGTATTAACTGAACACAGTGTATGATTAAACACCTCCCTTACCGCCACACCCTTACATTTCCTTGAGCTATGTGAACATCCTACTACTACCTGCATTGGCTTATAATTGCTTTTGCAAATTGGTCAGATATGAACATAATTCTGTTGAACACGGATTGCCAGAAGATATGAGGAATCTATTTCCAGGCAGTGAAACAGCCTCTGCAAGGAATGGAAAATAAAAAACTAAAATAAAAACCAACTGTGCTCTTGTTTCTGCACCTAAAGTTATCTGTGTTTAAATCTCTCTGTTGGATGTTATTGGTAGAACCAAATTAGCATGAAATAATACAAAACTAGTTGCAACCAACTACTATCCTGGCCAGTCAGTAAAATTTCTGACAGTTGCAAAGATGATAAAGAAGCCAAACCTTTATGCTTTTAAAACAATTCCTCTTGGGAACTGTGCCAAAGTTGAGCAGTAGCTTAGTAAGCAATCAGTAAATTGCTGTCCTTCCACAAAGGCTACATACATACAGTAGATTTGTCTTTCTCTGGTATCAAATAAAAGCTGAAATGCCCCAAACATAATCTCTCAAAAATAACCTTGTATTTTTTTCAGTGGAATTCCATACAATTTTAAAATTATACAACAGGTTGAATGGGTGCCACAGGCTGTAAAACTCACAGTTCTAGCATGTTAAGAGTCAAAAGGTTTTTCATCCGAGAGCAGTGCTACACTTCTACCTTAAGCGACTATCAATCTTGTACCTGTTAGACTGATTCTTTCAATCATAGCAGTCTTGTAGCTACATTACAGTAGGTGAGATACAGTAATATGTATGAGTCCAGAACATACAATATAGTCGCCATCATCAGTCAAAATATCTATTGCTTTGGTGGAGCCTGTGCAGCCCACATAGTTCCCCCGTTTGGAGTCAGCTCAGGTATCTTTATCTGCGTCTATCCAAGCTCTCTGTCCTTTCAATCTTCTATTCATACTGTTTCAGACCTGATGATTCATTAATTTGCATTTTTATTATGTTTCTTGTTAAACAAATGAGTGAAAATAGAGATGTTTATACTAATCCAGATTCTGCCTTTGTTTTCTTTTGGATTAACCCAGCATCCTAATGTTTGGTTTGTTTGTTTTTTTCTGAAATGGATCTCTTGGACTCACCAACCTCAAGCAATTTTGAGCGTGATGCACGATGGATTACCTCCACTTTTACATCTCGTTATGGAGGTAAACTGATTCCTACCCTGTACAAAGACGAGAACTCATTCAATACTTTAAACAAAGACAGGAACATCTTTAGAAAAAGAACCAATAAGATCACTTTCACATTGTGTTGGTAGATAGTATTGTGTACCATATTTGCACTGTAAAATGTACAAAATATCACCATGTTGTTGGCTAGTGACCTGCAATCTTATTCACAAGCACTTTGAAGCATGTTTATTTATCTACAACATACAGTGTACTTTGAAACAGTAACACATTTATAAATAAATATTGCAATCTTAACAATCTTACAGATCTCCTTTTTTTATTGTCAGTTCTTCATGACTCGTCACCTGAGCTTAACGAAGGTGAGGCAACCTCTGCCTGTTCTGTCTCCGCCCTTTCACTTCGTGTGCTATCGTTCACCAGCAGGTCTATTGATCTCAATCTTTGCCCTTGACCCTTCTTTCAGTCCTCACCCTCTCAAATGTTAATTTAAATAAATAGATTTCTAGGAGAAAAAAGAATCATATATTCTTAAAATCGTAATAAATCTCTAAAATAAAAAGCTACAATTAATATCTTCCCAAATGAGGAAAAATGTAACAAGGAAAAACATAATAAAAACATTCTATATATAAAAAAGGACAAACAAAAGAAAAAAAATATATAATTATGTTCAGCAAGAACAAACATGTTTTATGAACCCATATCTATTCGTGAGATATTCAAGAGTTTCACTCCATTTTCATTTGTATTGTAATGTCATTCAATATATCCTGTTAGCTCCACGTATAACACTGTAGGTACTCCGGTCTGTATTGTTGCCTACGTGGTTTCTGTTTTAAATAATCCTCATTAAGTGTTCGGTCAGGCTTTGCAAAGCCCAAGCAGCCTCCTTTTTATACGAGACACCAAAGTCGGTCCCCCTTTAGTTTACAGACAGTAATTCACAGTATTTCACTGTGTACTTTAGTTCACAAAGTTCCTACTGTCCAATCAGTGACAAGGAGAGGGGCCAGGAGATGACAGAACTGGTTCTGAATACAGGGAGAAAGCCATCGTTGGCTGGAAGGTTTTAGGAAACAGGAAGTAAGCCTCAAATATGGCTAATGTCTTTTCCTGCTTTTAATTGTGCAAGTTTAAATGCCTCTGTCTTGGATCCAAGGGAGAAACAGTCTTCCGTATGTCATTTTCCAACTCTTGACACATTCTGCTGTTGAGGAAAGAAAAAGATTGCCCGTATTCAGTGCTCAATGGCAACTCCCACTGATGCCTGACTTATAGTTGAGTACTTGGAATATATATATTTTTTACATGTTACATTTTACTTGTGAGAAATGCAAATGGGTCACATGATAGAATAAAAACAAACAGATTGTATCTTTGATGCAAACCTATTCTTCAGGAATCATAATCAGTCATTTGTTATATAACCATTCAGCAGACTTGGCAGATAACTGACAGGTTTGTATATTAAAACTAGATCTATCAATATTCAATCCATGGCCAATGCTGGCAATATACCATTTGAGTAAAAAACACTTCCTGCCATCCTCATTTAAATGTATAGTGGCTTAATAATGTTGTCCAATAACATACCCTGAATTTACTGTATAGCACAGTCGTTTACTGGTATTCTGAAAATAAACATTCATAACCAATAGTGACTTTATAATTGATTTTTACACTAATATTTCTACAAAAATAATATAAAACAAACTCATAATGTTATTCATTGTTTGCTACCATTGATTTCACTGTGAGCTAGTGATGAAAGTATGCTTTCCATAGCCTAAGGGGAGCTAAATGTAAGCATCCCCTACACTATCTCTTCAATAATCTTTTAAACTCTTCGCCACAGTCCATGCTCCCTTCACTATTCTCATATTCCTCCCATTCTCGCTCCCTTCATCCATTGCAAAGGCATTACAGGTGAATTGTACTCATTGTCCATCCTCCCCCTCCTGCACTCATCCTCTGCCCCTTCATTTCTCAGTCTCTTTCCCCTCAGTCACAGATTGTCTTGTAGCCTCTCCATGTAGGTTCTGATTTCAGACTGACCCAGGTCCATATCCTGGCACACCCACTTGATGTCATCCTCGCTCCCATTGGTCACCAAGACTGAAGAGTTGGTGTATGGGCCACCCCCACCCGAATTATCATTGGGCAGAACAGTGGCAAAAGACGTGAACTGGACACGTTTGCGTTTGGCGGCTGCAACTGCAGCTGCAGCTGTGGCTCGTGGGGAATTATTCAGATGCTCCACTTGGCCAGTGGCATTTTTGCCACCTGTAGTGATTGCTGAAAGGCACTGATGCGGTTCTGGAACAGATCTGGGCAAGGTTTGTCCATGGGTGATGCCTCGGTGTCCCCCTGTGCCACCACTCCCACTGATAGTGCCCATGCCTGTGCCCACGCCCATCACCAAGGTGTTACCAGCCCCATTCAGCAGGTACTTGTTCTCTTCGTATCCTCCTTCATTCCGGTCAATGATGGTGGTGCATTCATCAGGCAGGCCACCCTGGCATTGGTCAGAGTGGTCAGCCAAAAGGTCTGCCTCGTTGCCAAGCCATACCCAGTCATGGGCGTGGTTCATGTTGCCTCCTGCTTCCAGCACGGGGACCTGCTTGTGACGGTATCTGCAGAGGAAGGACAATAATTAGTCTACGATTCAAGTACAATTTAGAAAAAAAAGTGCAATTTTAGGCTATGCTACTCTTTTAATATTAACAATGGGCATCCCTTAGTAGTAATGTACAGGGTACCTTCAAATAATGAGTCCTCAATTATAACAATATTTTACCTGAAAGCAAAGCTGACACAGTTGATGAGGAAGACCAGTATTGCCAGACAGAATACACCCAAAAGGGCATACATCCCAATCTCCAGGTCTGACAGTCCTCTAGTGGTCTGGGTCAGCTCATTATCCCCAGTGCCTGGTACCTCCACTTGTGCTGGATAGCTACCGTAGTCCCCTGCTTGGCTGGGACCACTGCCACGGCTGCTGCTGCTGCCTCCACTGGCCGGTTTGCCACCTGAAGCACGTTGGGTTACTGTGCTCTTGGTGGTTGTGCTAACCTGATTAATCAAAAAGAAGATAAATTAAGTTAAATACATATTAACATTAATATTTCTTCATTGCTGAATTTCAACAGTTCACTACCTTTCGAAAGCTGATTTTTCTTAGATTTTGTTTATTTAAACTTTTAGGTAATACTGTTCAGTTTCAGTTTTAAAGTAGGTTTTTATCATGTATATATTGTACTAATAATATAATTAAATGCACTGAAGTAAAAAGCTGAGTATTTTTAGTTATACTATGAAATGATTTTAGTGAATGCTCAAGTCTGTCTGGTGTTATATAAGAATACGATCAAACAACCCATTAATGGTGGAGCTAATTACTTCTTTTACTGACAATACTTTTATACACTCATCGCTCTCTCCCACCTTTCTCATGGCTCCTTCCTCTCGATCCACTGCTGCACTATTGGACTTCCACTCTCCTCCATCCTTTGTTCGTTGCTCGCTGGTGCTGTTGTCCATCCCTCCTCCGTCGTCTTGTCCACCTCTTCCCATCACACCTCTTTCTTCGCTCTTTGCTCCAAGCTTCACTATCACATTGCCAACTCCAGATGCCAGCACACTCTTCCTTTTGGATTTCTGGCAGGTCTCAGAGATGACCATCTCAACACGAACCAGTGCCTGTCCATCGCCCTCTGCCACTACAATAGGCCAGTGTTGCTCCTAAAAGAAAACAGAGACAATATGAAGGTAAACAGACACAACAGTAAAATCTGGAGCTATTGTTGAACTTCCATGGTTTTTGTTTCTGCCATCTTTTACACAGCTTTAAAATAGTAATCAGATAAAGAAAACTTCAAATGGCTAGTACCTGATTAGTTATGGAGATGACACTCTCATCCAATGACACGGCTGAGAGGAGGAAGTCTTTAGGATCATAGACATCAAGTGGTGTCACTGAACCGTCACTGTATTGGATCCATGCACTGATGACTGCTTCCTGAAAGATGATTAGAAACAGAGTGATTACAGTACTGAAAACATATGTTTAATAATAATACAGAAAGAAGCTCTGGTGGTCTTCTGAGGCTGCAGTCTATGTACAGGTGATTGAGCGCTATTTGATCTATTCCACTATGCAATCTCTGCTGCTTTCCATTTGAATGTTTCAAATAGTTGCTCAATGTGCCTCATGGACCAATCTCAGTAAATCAATGAATTCTTTTTAGCATTTAGTAACATCCTCACAAATGCTCATGTGAGTAAACACACATTCATACTACAACTTCAGTCTTCCTTTGTTGGCTTCTGGGTGATTCCACGGTCATAGAAGTTACAATGAGGAATGATAAAGGAGTTCAAGGTCAAATTGTCAATTTTTAAATGGCTATCATTTTGGTATGATGTTTGCTTCAGTTTATAGATCGATGGTTTTGCTAATCGGTCTATGAGGCGTACCTGCAGGACGATGTCTTTAGCAAGAAAGCTCTGCTAAATCCAATTTATGCAGACTGCTCAGCATCAAAAGACAAAAAACTACCTGGTGAACATAGTGAAAAGAGTGAGATGTTTCTCTATATAGTTAGTGGAGACCAAAACATAAGTAAGAGGAAAGTGAATATTTGACTTACATTCTTCATTCAACACTTTTGCTATAACTAATTTGTAAGGTGATAGTGTTTATGTTTTGTTCCATAACTACTGCAGGTTAAAATTTGTGGCGCTACATACAGGAGCTAAAATAACCAAAAGGTTATTGGAAAATTCCTCCCTTTCAATTTTAAGAGCTTTTTTAAATCTGCTTTAGTAAGAGTACGTGAGGTAAAGATATTCATTGGAGCTGGCCTTGGCAGCTTGACATTGTGATATGTTTTCTGAATGATTCAGCTGTTTGGATCTCAAATACAAGATACATAGTGAGACATCTACACTCCCATCAATCCAACCACACACACACATACACTTGTAATGTTTGACATAACTTATTTCTGTGCACAGACACACTTCTTTTTCATGTCTCTTTCTCCAGTCTCCATCTCTTCCATCACAATGAGGACAAATACAATGAAGAAAAATGTTGTTTGTTGTCAACAATCGTCTTCCAGCAGCAGCTATTCCATAAATAAAAACCGAGTTTAGCAGATAATGCATTCTCTGCTTGTCCTTAAGTGATCCTGCCTTACTAATTTCCCTTGATGAAACAATTTGCTTTCTTTAATCAGAACACTACAAAGATTGAGTAGGTATAATACAGCAAAAAACTCCCTACAAAAGTAATTAAGCTCCAATGTGAGGAACAACACTTCTATCTCGTTCCCTCCCTCTATTTTCACATTAAATTGTCATTTTCTTTGCATTCTTTCTTTTTTTAACTTCTTTTCTTCCTCACTTTACCACTCCATAGTTGCATCATCTTTTTACAGGTGATGATACATGATGTAGATAAAAACAGACAGATAGATAGATAGAAATTAATGTTTGAGTGAATGCAAGATCAGATCTGTATTTTCATTGTGATGAGCTGCTTCTTGTCCAATTACCCCTTGGGGGGGGGGATTAATTATGGGAGAGATAGCAGTAATATGATGTTCGCAGCACGGACTTACCGTTTGACTTCTATGATTACAACCTGTGGGGTATTGTGTGATACAAACCGAAAGGCAGCAAGGTTTCTATGTTTATCACATGCATTTGGAAATATGACAAATTCAGCCCTGGAAGGATATGACATCTTGCAGAGAGATAAGATATACTCAATGTTTGAGTGTGTGAATGTGTTTGTGTACCTTTAGTATCTCCTACCTGTTTAGGTGCGTGTAGCAGGTCTGTAGCTGTAGTTGTTAGCTGTATAGCTTGGTAATTTCCAGGACTTGCTGACATACTGAGGGAAAGAGATGCAACCAGCTGGACTCCCAGGTCTGTGATAGTCACCTAGACAAACAAGATATACTGTAGGTCACTGGTAGACTGGTACTTTTACTTGTTTGTTCCCCTTTTAGGGGCTAGGAAGGAGAATTAAGTGATTTTTTACAACATTCTAGTAAGTAAGCAAGTAACTGTAAGTAAATAACTTTAGATTCAAGACCTTGGAAGTATGGTTTCCTTAAACTCGGTGAGAAAATTAGGCAGTTAAGGCAGTAGTATAGTACAGTGGCCAAATAAAATGAAGGTGTAGAATGGTATGCAATATTTAGAATTGACAATTCAGAGACATTATCATCATCAACATATAAGTCTTAAATTAGTCATAATGGATGAACTTATAAAGACTACCAAAACACAATACGTTTCTTATGCCTTTTTATCCTATTGCCTGGTACTGTATTGCTCAGTACACAATAAGTTCCATGTCCACAAGGACTACCGTCATAAACATGTTTATTATTACATGCTGTGTGATGCACTTTGAATGTTTTTTCCTTTCATTTTAGGCTCACTGTTGTCCCTTTGTATAACCAGTGATCTGTAACATTTAGAACAAGCAAAATACATGCCAATAAAAGGGACCTATATCCCAGATAGATAAAACATAACAATATGTTAATTTACCTTGTCATCCAACACGGTCACAGTCTTCTCTGCCAGGATAGAGTCAGACAGCGGGGACAGAACCTGCAACAAGATCAAACATGTTGTTAAAATTGTAATTAAGTTTAAATTCAAAAGAATCAATGTTTCTCCCTGAAACGAATCTGAATTATTTGAGTTGGAGAACATGCACAAAAGTACTTTTTACATTTCCTGCTCTATCACCAACTGTCTGGTAGGTCTTTTCAGGGACAAATCCTTAACAACACAGTTAGTGTTCTGTTTTTAGCAACTGCACAATCTAACTAAAAAGACATCACATTACTGACAAGCTGGCTGTTTGACAGGTGATGGAATGACAGCATGTGTCTCAAAATGTTGAAAAAAAAATAGCAATGGGAACTATATTGTGGATCATGCTGCATCAAGTAATGTAAATTAGGAAGTACAGGTAGTTAACTCTGGAAGACAGCATGTGAGATAGCTGTTGTTGCTGTCATTATTGCCTTAAGGTGACATTGAAGTATTTAACACTGACAGAGGAGCAGTGAGAGCTAGTTAACACCACAATGCTTTGGCCACTTAGACAAACCAGACCTGTAAAAGCTGACAGCTGACAATACTAGTATTGTCTGTATAAAGAAACAGTGTGGCTGTTATTTCACATCTTTTACACATATACATACATACACAAACACACACACGCACGCACGCACACGCACACACACACACACACACACACACACCACACACCACAGTGTTCCTGTCTGCCTCCCAGCTGTGCTCCAATGTGTCAGCATTCAACTAAGACAACTTAGCGTAAACAAAGCACAAGGCCAAAACTAAATAACTAAAAGAGAGTGAAAAGTCTGTATGTGAGAGACGACGAGCAAGCGAGAGAGAAATAAATGGAGTAGGTGTCAGAGAAAGAGAGACAATGACAAATAGAGGAGGACAGAAAGTGAGAGGGGGCAGAAAGAAGGAGCGCAAAAGAGATTGAGGTACAGATGGAGAGAGGGCACAGCAGACAGACAGTGATAGAGATTAGGAGCCCGTGTTGTAGTGTAGTACTCCGCCCGGCGACAGGAGGACAGACAGATCTGATTGGTGTACAAAGAAAATCTCTCAGCGATCGTGTTGGGGCGTCAAACTCAATCCCACCCTCAGCAAGGTAACAAAATGCAATGATTGACAGCTCTGGGATTGCTCTTCAAGACATACAGAGAATTAGAGGGCGAGAAAGAGAGAGACTGGGGGCAAGGAAGGAGAGAGACGGGGAGGAGAGGAAGAGGCGAGACTCGGGGAGACGGAGCTGGGGGGTAAAATTGAAATGTCAAACTATCAAATGACGGCTGTCGACTCTGGCATCTCGATGGGAATGCTGGGTAAATTCTCTCTCCTGGCTCCCAAACAGAGCACAGCTGTCTCTATGCGTGCATCTGTGTGTGTGTGTGTGTGTGTATTTGTATGTGTCCCCAGTCGGATGCAAACACACACTCAGCTGTTCCCACAAATCCCCATGATATCCCCCCACTGCTGCACTGAACTCAGTGCCAAAACACTTCTAACAAATGCACAACACACTTTTCAGAGCTACAATCAAATGTAAGCACTTAGAATAAAAAAATATAGTTTACATATTGTCACATGAAAGATGGAAATGTAACACAATAGGGTAGAAGATAACAAAAACTTTTACTGTGATAAATTTGGTGGTTTTGCCTTGGTTCTGCTACATAACAGTATACAAGTAATGTAAGACAGTAAGCCACAGGACTGTCCTCCACTGTCACATTCATTCACAATGGGCCGGCTTATTGGAATTCAGCAAGTGCATGAGTGTGTTCTGTGTGTAATTGCTGAACATCACACTGAGATGTCAGGGCCAAATCCGACAGCTAATTGTGGCAAATTGTGTAACGAACTAGCAGGCCAGGCTTACAGGAACAGGAGAGGAAGAAAGAGAGGATAATGTTTACATCACTGGAGCGCATATGGCTGCAATCTGAGTTACTAAATTACACTGCACTTTACATAGTCATACATTTTCAACCATCTTTCTCTAGACTTGTTGTCCAACTGAGCTTCAGTTAGGAGACTAGGTTGTTTCGTGGTTTGTGACAATAATATCAACAAAATAACGTGAGAACAGACTGGATCCTTAGTATAGTGATCACAGTAGAAAAAAGGGTATATACCTGTATAGTGGTGATCCCCAGGTCCCGTCCGATCAAGATTCGTCCATCTATCAGTCTAGCAATGCGAGGATCTTCTACCTGTGGAGCACAGAAACGGCTGTCAGACACTACTACAGGTTTAATCAATTTGTTCATAACTGATCTTTTAGGCTTTTGTGCATGTATTCTGCATTGGTACTACATATAATTGTTTTTGTTATTCGAAAGTCAGGTAAAATCAGGTAAAAGTCAAGAGTTAATACGTTAGCTTTAGTAGGGCTGGTATGCGCATTTTAAAACTTTGAAGAGATCCAAAGTCATCTCCCACTTCATTTCACAAAATGTTTCCTTTAGGTTAACACGTTGTATCTAGTATGTTTAATCTGTAATGCATAAATCCATATAAACAGAAATGTAAAAACAACCATTTGTGTTTTAGAGGGAGTTAGGAGTTATTTACTGGGAAACAAACCCCAGGTAAAGTGATAAGTCATCACAGTGAGGTTGCCAGGCAACCAGCAGTGACACTGCATAGAAGTATTAGGGTAAATGTGATGTTTGAAAATATATTACATGTAACCTTTTCTAATAGCACAAATTGTCATTTCTACACTAATGTTTATGTACAGATTAAACAAATGAGATACAATGTGTCAATTAGATGGCCACATTTTTGAGAAACCTGCTCCACCCTGCTCCCACTTTTCCTGCTAAGCTAGGCTAATCATTGTTTACAAGCACAGTCTCTAGCTATTAATGCACAGACATGAAAGTGGTATTGATCACTTCATTTACAGTAACTTTTGGTAAGCAAATTAATATATTTCCCAAAATGTTTAGCTATTTCTTCAAGGAATATTTGGTGTATGTGTGAGTATATATGTAAATACTTTTGTATACCTACCTTTAGCTGGTCCAAGACCAAATGAGTGATATCAGCCTGCCAGTCCGATCCTAACATGTAGACCATCTCTCCTCCTGGGTCAGAGGGTTCTGCGACAAAATGGGTGAGGACCCGCACCAAGGCGTACTGATACTGAAAGGTCAAGAGAAAATTCAAATTAGATAGAAAAATAAATATAAACCTAGTGGACAATAATACTGTGCAGTATTTTAGAACAACAGAAGCAAACCATTAGGCTACATACAGTAAGTCACAATTTATTTTCAGTATGTAGTATCTTTCACCCTTTTAGGGATATTGACATTGAAGAAAAGGATTAAAGAGCTCTCTTTAAAAGTGTGATATGCAAACCAATCAAATGATACCTGTAGGGTGCAGCCTTTGCCCTTCCTCTCATCATCCTCATCATCTTCACTGTCTCTTGTAGGTCTGGAAGGAAAGGAGATAAATGAGAGCGAAAAAGAGGAGAGAGTGGTAAGATTATATGTTAATTAAATGACATTTTTATACACTACACTCAGCTCTAGGAAATCTAATGTATAATCTCTGCTCCAGGTTACACTCTCAGTCAAATACAAGCCACTTTAGGTTTTAATCCAGCTGTAACACTTAAAAAACACTTTGTGCAATATGGATTTCCTGAAATGCTTGGGAGAACAAATAATTTCAAATGTAATTGGCCTTGTGCTCCATTATTTCATAATACTGTCCGCAGGTATATTTTTATTAAAACAGTATGATAAAAACAATTGTAACTTCTCTTGAAAAAGCATTGATCAATTGTGAATGGAGTTTACTGATCTATCAAATAGCTACATATATAAGGGACACATTACACAACATGTAACTGTTCAAATGTTCATTATATTTAAAGCAACTTTCAGGGCAAAAAGTCGTAATATGTGCATAATGTGTTCTTGACGGTTGCACTTTAAAAAAAAAGAAGGGTGTTGATAAAAAGATGTTGGTTTAAATTAACCCAAATCTCCAACCAGCACAACAAACTAGACAGGTGGCCCAGGAGGAGAGTGAGAGTGACCCACGGCAGCACACATTCTTCTTCTTCGTTTTTGTTAAGTTAAGTTTTTAATAATAACTATTAATAAGGATTACAACCAACCGTAAAGAAAGTTTCTGTGCTGATTTGTTGACAGGGTTGAGAGTTGAGCTGTGTTTTCTATCACCATCCTCAAGTGTTTTAAATCATATCTGTAAAACTAACCTAAAAACACCCTCCAAAATGTTGTGAATTTTAAATGCTTTATAGAGTCCCACAGGGATCAATTCTTGGACTGCGCCTGTTTAATCTTTATATTTTGCTGCAAAAAAAATCAGTTGTAATCACTATACAGATGACAAACCACTCTATATTTAATGCTGTCCTGATGATAATAGGCACTGTGAATGCCATAATGAATGCTATCAATTTGTAGATATATAACAAGGGAAAACAAATTAAATTCTAAATTTTACATATAGTGTAGCCTTTTCTTAGACTTTAGATTTTGTGTATGTATCCGTTCGAAGATTTTTTTACATATATTTCAAATTGTTTTATCACTCTGTAAAGTTGCATATAGTCCTTGCTATGGGAATAACCTTTAATGAGTTTATTCCACTCCTTTCTTGCATGAATGTTTAGTATATATTATTTAGTATTTTAAATGACACAAGCAACACTTCTGAACCAGTTCCTGACTAGAAACATCACAAACTGAAAGACAGTATTCACCCCAGCCACAGCCTGTTCACCCTGCTGTCATCTGAAAAGAGGTACAGAAGCTTCCGCTGCCGTACAACCAGACTTAAGAACAACTTCTACCCTCAGGCTGTGAGACTGCTTAATTCAGCACTCCATTATGTAAAATCCTTTTTTTGATTTTTAATTTTTATGACTTATTAATACTTTTACTGTATATAATTGTGTTTTTTATGAGTAGCATAAAGGGGATTTCATTATACAGCTCTGAGTTGTAAAATGACAACTAAATGACCTTGTATTCTTTTATATCATACTTCTTTGTAACATACTTATTTGCTGTAAACTAAAATTTATAGTAAAAAAAATTGCAGTAACAATCTGTATCTGAATTCATCTGTACATGTCACTTCTGTGGTATCGTTTGGCATGGTATAATTCTGCAGCTGAGGATGCTGAATAATCATCCCTGAATAAAGAAATAAAATGAATCTGAGAATGCTTTGAATGCACTATCAGTGTTTAAACAGAAAACCTCTCGCCCTCACTCCCTAGTGGAGGATTTCTTTTTCTCTCTCATACACAGACACACAAAGAAACACAAATTCTTTCTTCTTTGCCTCCCTCTGTGTAATATCTACACAATACCACATGCAAGCAGGCCCATTCTGGATCATACATTCACATAAAAACCCACATCCACACACACACACACACACACACACACACACAGGACTACCTCTGTGTCCTTTAACTGTCCCGGAGTGTGAAACCCAGGTAATATTACAGGAATTCTCTTTCCATTTTCCAGTGTCCCAATTGCACTTTTTTCTGTGTAAGAGTGTGTGTCTAATACTGCTTCTGTCTCACTCTGTGAGATAGTGGTTAGGGAGGATAGAGGTGTGTGTGTGTGTGTGTAGGTGTGTGTGTGTGTTTGTGTGTTTGTGTCTCTGTGTGCACACGGGTTGGTGGCTATCTAAGCAGAAATTGGCAAAATTGAAAAATAGGCCTGGCAGAACGGAATGGAAGGGCAGCAAGGTGGTGAATAGAAGCAACGCATACACACACAAATGACCATGTGCACACTTTCATGCATGCCCACATACACATGCACAAACAAATGCAAACATCAAACATAGAGGCAAAGCAAAAAGACATATAGAGCATTAGGAATAGGTTTTTTGTAACCTGAGAAAGAAAGGACACAGCTGATTTTAAACTGAGTGTGTGTTACACGTTAGTAAGCGTATGCTGTTTCCCCATTGCGACTCTGAATTTGAGTTCAAGAAGAAAGTTGGAAGCTGTGAATCTAAATGTGGCAACTCCTTGCTTACACACCCCGTCTCTATATTGAAGCTAGAGTTTTTTTCTTATATAAAGCATTTTTATTTTAGCATGAGCACAGCATGGTTGACGTGCATAGTATATGTCATAGCTCCATCCTCAGAGGCAATACACAAAATACTGGATCTCATTCAGCTGAAAGACTTGATTAAACATAATAGAATATATAAGCACAAAACAGAAGAAAAAAACAGAAAGCAGGGAATATACTTCTGCCAAGGCTCCATAATCCTCTAAATTTTGTATTCTATTAATTGAAAATCTGGATTCAGAGCTGCCTCAAAATACGCAATGAGAAACAATCACAGGTGTACCAATTGTTTTTTTAATTCAAGTAAGTAAAGTGGCTATAATCTCAGTTTAAAGTGTTGTAAGACCTTGTCCTTGACTCATAGCCTGACTCAAATTCCATAATTTAGAGATTCTCTGTTAACAGATGAACAGAAACAAAACAAAAACATACCCTGCGCAGGAGGTAAAATTAAGTGGCAAAATAAGCAGAGGAGGAAATTTAAAGAATTGTGAGAAAGAAATATTTAATGTTTTATTAAGAAGTTGGTTTGGAAAAAGTAAAGTATTACAATAATTAGTTTAGGGTTAGGGTTAGGGTTAGCTGCGGGGTAAGTGTAATGCCCTGAAGGTATTTCTACAGTTTATATGCTACAGCACGAGTTTATATTTTGTCTACATTCCTTAATTGTCTATACATTGTTATGCCTTCACTGTCCTTCCTTCTTTCACATTGCAGACACACAAAAAGCTGGACAAAAAAGTGAATAAGAATGTGCATGCACACATACACAACTATATGGGAAACAAACTGACACTCACACACCAACATCCTGTAGCTGATCCACCCATTTGCACTGTCTACCTTTTGAGAAGGTGTAAGGGTGTGTGTGTGAAAGTGACTGAATGCTTCGTTCAGTGGCAATGATGGTAAAGCTATAATAGTTGTCATCAGTATAGCCAGGCAGGCCTTGACCTCACAGGAAATCATAGACTCTCTGGAACGATATGTGCTCTCAACTGCTCCATTCAATAAGCACTATATCACACACACACACACACACACAGACAAAAGACACACATTCTCGTTTACATTCACACACTGCCTCTGTTTATTCTTTTTTCTATCCCAGTTGCAGAGAAACACACAGAAATCTTAAGATTTACCACAAAACAAATCAGATACAGCAATGACTCATGCAATGACGCTCATGTACTTGGCGCTGCCTCAGGCGGCAGCT